TCATCATCATCAAACAACACTTTCGTCACCTAATACAAATGGAAGTTTATTTGGTGTTCCACGTTTACCACCGAAACAAACAACACCACAATCACCAGCATGGGATTTGATTTCAACTACAACAATGACAACACCTAAATGGATTGCACCTGTACCTACAGTTGTATCATCATTAACAGTTCCAACACCACCACCACCACCACCACTACCAATAAGATTTTCATCTCCAGCTCCATCAACAATTGCACCATCAACTATTACTATTGATGCTCAATGGAAAGAAGAAATGCTTGAAAAAATGCAAGCATATGATGCTCATATTCAATCATTAAATGCACTTGTTGCTCAACTTTTAGCTGCTCAACAACAACAACAAAGTTCAATGTCAACACCAGCAAGAGAACCTACAAAATGTGATGTTGCTGTTCAAAGTGAACCACCATCACCATGTACAAGTGATGATATTGGTGAATCAGCATCAATGATTAAAAGTAATCGAAATAGTTCACCATCATCATCACCACCAAAAATTGAACAAATTCAACATTATCAACAACAAACACCAATAATGACTACAACAACAACAACAACAACAAGAGTTAGTTTAATTAAATCTATTTTTATTATGAATATTCAATTTATTTATTGTTTTTATTTTTAGACACCTTGTTCTGTAGCTCAATTTCAATCGCCACCTCCACTTCCTCCACCACCATCACTACCACCAGTTGTTCGTCAACCAGAACCAATTATTGATTATGTATCTCTTCGAAAATCAACTGATTGTGAACGACTTACGGTTGAAAATACTTCTGTACCATATCATCATACACCTATTCGATCAATATCACCTTCAATGTCATCAGCACCAACTGATCTTAATCCAGTTGATATTCTTAAACCATTTTTTCAATTTATGGCAAGTCAACAACAAAAACAACAACAAGAACGAGAATATCAAAGATGTACATCTCCATTAATGACAACATCCAAATCATTTGATACAACTATAATGAAAACAATTGATGAAGAAAGTGGTCGTCAAGCAGAAAAAATGTCTCATTTAGCTAATGTTATTCAACAACAACAACAACAACAACAGCATGTTACATCAACCACTACAACAGGTATTAGTTTTATTTCCAATGGTCTTCAAATGCAAATTATTAATCAACAAAGTAGTACAACTACTGTTTATCCACCAGTTCCTCCATCTCTTCCTTCTTCATCTACTTCTCTACCTTCAACACCTCAAAATGGTGCACTTATTTCATCATCATCAAATCAACAATCAGAAAATGATCTATCGATTGAAGTTCGTAGTTTACAAATGAAATATCTTGATGATGATCAATTAGCAATAACTACTGATTATGATCGACAATCACCAACACCACCAAATACAGTACGACAATCACCTCAGATATTTGATAAAAATATGTCGTTTGCAACACAAAAATATTTTCAAAAATATAATATTCTCTCAGGATTTAATCGTCAACAACAACAACATTATTTATCGTCAGATGACAATGATCTATTAACATCATCTCCACCTCGTCAACGAATGCTTTTACCATTACCTCCACCATCATCACCACCTATATTTACACAACCACCTATTCCTCATGCTCCACAAGCTAAAATACTCGATTTGAGTCAAATACGTAAATTACCTAAATTACTTTAAATAATTTAGTATGAACATAATAAATTAGATTAAATTCAATTCCGTCCATATTATAGTTTTTCATTGGGGATATGTATTTTCATTTCTTAATATGTATTAGATTTGTGTTTCTTTTATTTCGAATAAAATATTGAATGAACAGGAGTATGATTATTCTTTTCTTTCTTTTTGTATATCAATAATAATAATAATAATAATAAATAATAAAGCATAAAAATCTTGAGTTAATAATGATTTGTATAGAATCTAAAAATTTAAATACTTTATCGTAAATATAGAATCATTTGAAATGCATCAGGTTTAGATTTCGATGATTGATAATAGAAATTAGTTAAATAATCTTCTTTACGAAAACCAACTTTTTCATATAAACCAATTGCTTTATAATTTAAAACATGTACATGTAAAGAAATAAATCTATAATATGTTCGACGTGCCCAACGTATAATTTTTTCTAATAATTGTGTACCTACACCACGATGTTGACTTGATTGTCGTACACCAAATAACGATACATAAAGACCTCTTATAGAACTATCTTTGAGTAATGCACAACCAACACAACCTTCGTTTTCATCATATGCACAAAAGATATGATTAGCTGCATTAATCAGAGCAATTAAATCCTCATATTGATAATCAGCATAAAAAAGAGGATAAAGAACATCAATAAGATCTTCCCATGGAAATAGACGATGGTGATATATTTGAATACCTGAAGAATTCTTTTTGGCTTTCTTTATACGTCTTGAGAAAAATCTATTCATTATTATAATGTGACTGTTTTCGATATGGTGATCAAGGTTACAAACGTATATTACGTCTCAATATTTCATACAAGTGAAACAGAAAAAGAATAAATGGTTGATTGATTTTGTTATCTATTTTGTAGAGATAAATATATATTGACATTGACTAGTTTTCATGGACTCCAACAATACGTTCAGCCATGAAATTATTCATATTAATATATCTAAACGATTAATAATCGATATCAATATTCAGAGTATGTCTTATTGTAAACAAAAAAGAAAACATTTTCATTTAAGAGATGAATCAATATCTCAAAATAGTGTATTGTATTTGTCTCTTTTTCTATATTCATTCATAAAGATTTTCAAATAAACACACTTTATATTATCAATGAAAACACTACAAACATAATAGAGTGACTGATTAAGTATTTATCAACGTTATTTTTATTAATAACAATATAAACTAATCATAATAAACTTTGGTTGTTGTTGTCGTCGTTGTTTAGCAGAGATTACTATCTTTTCATTGATATGATATACATCAAATTACAAACAAGTTTCAATTATCGATGAAACGTATGTAAATGCTGTTACCATCAAATTGCATGAATGATTGTAAACGAAAGAGACAAATGATGTCTATGTTCTAAATATAAATATTGATAAAATAATCAATCATGAAAAAAAAATAAATGGAAAATACTCATTTTGTATAATATCTATTAAAATAATCTCTGCTATTGTGACACAAGCAATGATTAAAAGAAGTAAAATGATACTGAGAACTGATGACGATGACGTTACTATAGAAAAAAAAAACATGAGATCAACTCTATACTGATGTTGCTAAACTAATAAGATAGAAAAGTATAATAATACTTATAATTCTTAGGATAATCATGAGTATTACTATTTTAATATATATTACCTTATTAATTTTCACGTTAATTTTATTTTTTCACATCTTAACACATATGTTTTAAAAGTTCTCAAAATTAGCAAATCTATATGAGCTATCGTTTAGTAATGCTAACCTTATGCTTTTGAAGTCTTTTTAATAGTGAAATTAGTTGATAAGATTTTAAAACAAGTCAAAAGAATGAAGTAAGAAAATTTATTTTTGTAATGATATTAGAAACAATCTATACATTAGCAACCTATAGTTTACATATAAAATTGATCAAACATTGAAGTATTATTTATTAGTCAAGAAAGATCTATTAATAAATAGTCAGATTATCATTTCTAAACCGAACAGATGATCATCTATGTCAACAAGTGACATCTATTAATTGATAAATAAATACGAATTGGTTTTATAAATGATAAAATTCAATCAATGAACATATAAAATATATATTTATTGTAATTGATATTGTTCACATTTGTTTTATCAATATATAAGTTCTGTTTATTTTACTTTCTCATTTACTCACTTACATAATCAAACAATATTAGAAAAACCATTACAATATTATAATATAGTTTCCATTGAGAATGCCAGTTTCACGAAACTATTGGTATCGTATATGGGGAGCACACAGACATGTATGTATTTATTAATTATTCATTTTTAAAAAAAAAATATATATTATAATTTCTTATTTGATAGCCTTTTGCATTAAAAGAAGCTGGTCTTTATTCACGTCGTATAGATCAACGTTTACGTACATATTTAGTAATGGAACAACATGGACCAGGCAAAAGTCATGCTCCATCACAATATGATATTTTACGCGAACCAAGATATAAAACACGTTGGATTAAAACTTGGAATGCTGATAGTCCTTTAGATACAAAACGTATTTTTAATGAAATACGTCAAAAATATAAATATGAAAATCCATATGATGAGATATCAAAATAGTTATTATTCAAGTTTTCTGTATGTATTAGTGATTAAATAAAAGATTTAAAGTTTATGCTTTTTGTTTTGTTTCTATGATTCATGAATATCTTGTTCGATTATTTGTTGAATTCCATCCCACATAAGACGAATAATATGAAATTCAGTTCGTCCTAATCGTATTATATTTGATAAATTAAAAATATTATTATCATTTGTATTTTCAATATGAATATCTAATTTTTTACAAAATTCAATTAATTGATTAAGTTTTTCTATATGTAATAATTTTACATAAATATTAACTTGTAATGCTGTACCAATATTTATTGGAGAAAAATTTAAATAACCTAAACGTTGATGTTGTTGAAATTCGAATATTTGATTGATTTTATCTATAGCACGTATTATACGTTCATAAATTTCACTCATTTTACTATTATTTGCTTGAGAAATAAAACTCAAATGATCTTCTTGATTAATCCAAATTATAAAATTTTCATTTTTATTTACAAAAACTCCACGACCTAATAGAAAATAAAAATGATATCAAAAATTCGACATACGAATTTTTTAAAAGTTCTTCAATGATCTAATTTTTTTTTCATATAGATATTCTTTTTACTAGTGGCTCGTCTCTACTCATTCCAGATGTACAGAAGGCAATGTTCTTTTCAATTTGTTCAATGAAAATTTTAGAATACCATTCAATTCATGCTCCGACATAATATGAATAGTAGAGGAAATGTTATTCATTTACCAGTCGGCCAATGATTATATGCTTTGGCATTTTCTAAATCATGATCAGTCGGCTCCTACGATGAATAGATAAATCAAAACAGTATGTTTTTTTTCATAATACTACTAACTTGAAAAAGAATAGATTTTTCTCGTAGTTTAATTAGATCGATTTCCTCAATATCTTTAAGTGAACGATATTCACCTTGTAAATCTTGATCTATATATTCAAGTGCATTTCGAACACGTTGTTCAATTTCTAGTAGTTGATCAATGGTTAATTTAGATATCATTGGATAACCTTGAATAGAACGATTAATACGAATACGTATTGATAAAATTTGTTTATTTAATTCTGATGATAAATCTTGAATATGATGAAAATCACCAAAATCATGTTTAAATATTAAATTTCGTATATCAACTTTATGATAATCCATAATTACTGGCCAAAAAAGACTTCGAAATAATTCATAACAATCTCCATCAGATGCATATAAACCACAAATTGTATCACAATTTTCCAATGCTGATTGAATACAATCATAAAATGTTGAATTAAATTGAGTTTTTTTACGCATTAAACACCATATTTCACATGGTTCAAGCCAAAGAAAATATTTTTGTGTTAAAGATTTTTTTTTTGTTTGTTGATTCGTTGAATTTTTTCGTTCAATATTTGTCATTGAAATTGAAATCGAAAAAAAAATCAAACTATTCCTTAGCAACCATATATTTTCATATATATATTTCAGATTGTATATCGAAAAGAAACATAATAGTTCGCCTTATTATACATTAATTAATACTTGTAATCAGGATTTAGAATTACTTAGTGAAATATAATTATTTGAAGTTCCCTGATAAATAAAATAGTAAACTATGTCTTCATCGATTTTTTTCTATATAATTTTGTATTAGATGAAAACTAAAACATTAGAAAAAATAAATTCTAATGATACTTAATGATGAAAAATTTCCGATATTATACATTGATTGTTATTCTTTATACAATCCCTTCATAAGATCATACAATAAGAAAATTATTATTTTTTTTTTGATTTGGAAAATTGTACCAGAATATACGGAAGATGGAAACCTTCGTCACGAAATCATTCTTGTTTAGAATACTTATTAATACAGTTTTCTTTTTTAGAGTGGAATTTTTTAATTGTTTTTTTTAATGTAAACGTAAAGATAATTTGTATGTCGATGCATAATTTTTGTCAATGTGAACTTTTATTTTATCAAATTTCTTTTAGAGATGATAAAGTTCATATGGCTTAAAAGACTATTTTTAAAAAGTTATCGACTATATACATACTAGCAAAATAGAATAGGTTGTTTTTTTTTCAGGTATATCTATAAACTACTAAACAACTAAATTTTTATTACAATGAAAAAGAATAATTTCTAAAACATAGTTTTCATTAACTTTTTTTTTGATTTGTAATAATGAATCGTCTACGTCTTCTGGTTGAATTTATACAATGTAGAAAATTAATTTCTTATGCTTCTGGTCAATTACTTCAATCTCATTATATTCAACGTCTGGCAAACGGAAATGGTAATCCTACATTATTACTTTTTGAATTTGAACCAGTTTATACATGTGGTCTTCGTCGATCGTCGTCTATTGTTACTTCAGCTGATATTGAACGATTACGTTCACTTGATGCACATTTTTATGAAACTGATCGTGGTGGTCTATTGACTTTTCATGGTCCAGGTCAACTTGTTGCTTATCCTATTCTACCTCTTCAACATAAATTTCTTCAATTAACACTTCGAACATATATTGATCGTCTTGAACAAACATTAGTTGATACTTGTCGAGAGATTATTGGTCAAACAAGAGTTTATGCAGGAACAGAAAATGGACGAACAGTAAATTATGCTGGAGCATGGGTAGACAATCAACGAAAAGTTGCTTTTATGGGTGTACGTTACTCACGTGGAATAACATCTCATGGTGTATCAATTAATTGTTCAATTAATATGAATTGGTTTGACCATATTATACCATGCGGATTTGATCGACGACAAATAACTTCATTAAGCGATGAACTATCTTCTGGACAAATAATAACTGTGAAACAAGTAACACCAATTTTTTTAGAACATTTTCAAAGAATATTTAATGTTGATTTAAGAGAGAGTGAGGAGAAATGCATTTAAACATAGACTTGTCATAATCATTTTTTTTTCAACTTAATATGATACACATATGAGTAATGTCACTTTTCTCCTTTATAAATATATTATAATAGATAAATAAATCATGTGCATCTCTCAATAAACATATACTTATATGAAGTGTTCAGTCAAAAGTTACTAGAGATTGAGATTTTCTAGAAAAATAATTAGAATACTTAAATAATTCACTACTATGTGTTACATCGCTTTTATGTAATAGGTGTTCAACATCAGAAACGGTAGTAAAAATCTATTCATTCAGTGACAGATAACTGTACTCTTTAACATTATAAATCGTTTACAACTGTAATTAAATATATGTTGTAACATGAGGTATGCAATGAATAAGGTTCTCCTTGAAATAAAGTCAAAAAAACAAGAAACCAATTTTCTCTATGCAATCTAGCATTTCTAATAATTGTTATTTATATATTTTTTCTTTCGGTCTGTCTATATTCTTCCCAAAGTTTTTAAAAAAGTGGAGAAATATAGATCTCTGTTCTTTTCAATACATGCCAGGCAATCTATTTTTTATATCATTAAAATTTACAATGAATTCTTGTAAACAGTTGCATATTCATAACAGTAATCAGTAAGAAAAAAGGATCCATAGACAATGTTTTAGCGGTCTCAATTTGAGTACCATTTTCTGAACCTTTTAAGGTTCTAGCATACAATGATTATATTTCGGACTTTTTTTTCTACTTTCATATATGGTTTCACACTCTAAAAAAATAATTCATGCAACACATTTGATCTAATTAGTGTTGTTTGATTCGATGACGATTTTTTTCACGCTTACTAAATCCAGATTCTAGAAATCAGCAGATGTACCTTGAAAAATTAGGAGAAAAATCAGAAAATTTTTAATTGAATTTATAGCAACACATAGCAATATTTCTTGAAAAACAATAAAACATCTATTCCCTTAAACGCTTTTCTTCTTGTCACATTTTAGTACGTTCATCAAAATTTTGATATACCAGTTCGTCCAACACAGAGCATTATCAATCTATCCTATGTGATCAATTTTGCTTAAATGTTACTTTCAAAACCAATTCAACACCTCTACACTAACTCAGCACCTTTATAGAGCGTTTGAGAATAATTTCGCGCATGATATCTACCATTTCCTCCCTTACATTAAACACAATCTAGCTAATTACCAAAAGAGTTATGGAATTTCTTTCTAATAATCATTATGAAATTATTTTCTCCCATCACAAAAAAAAGCGTTTGCTCATTCTACTTCTCTCTAACTTTGTTTAACTGACTCAAAAAAACTAACAACAGATCTCAATGAGAATCAAAAACATCGTTAACAAAAGTTTTAATCCTTCTAATTTCGTTCGTATCGAGAACTGAAAATGATGAATCAACATCGCAA